TGTTGTTGTGGATGTGGGGTATTTGGATTGTTTTCGAAACTATTATAGTAAAAAGGTCTAAATGTATCATTACTTCTATTGCAGTTATTACTATAATTATTATCAGTTTATCTATTGTTGTTATAATTATTTGTATCATACTCATAAGTTTTAACCGGATATTTACAGTTTTTGCTATCGTTGCTAAAATTAACTTTTGTATTTGTGTTCAAGCAATCTTGCTTTGCCGGGCCAAACTATGTATAATGGTGTTGTCTTGCGTCTAATATATCATTGTACGTGTTGGCTCTTGCAGGTGATCTCTAAAATTCTTAAGTGCAATTCTATTTATTTCATCTGTTGAATAAGTATTTTCACTATGCGTCAAATTTCTGTTATGAATTCTATTGCCAGTTTATTAATTTGATACAAACAGTTTTCGATAGTTCCCTGAAGTCCGCAAGCCATCAAATTGTCCATCAAACCGTTGCTGTTATCTTTTTCGCCAAAATTAGTTGTTAGTATCGTCTTTAATACCGGTCATGAAGTTACATTACTGTGTCTATGACAGGCCTTCCCAAAGTGGGTGCCTGGGGCGCCGCGAGCGTATGCCAGGGGTGCTGCTAGCGGCTTTAGTATACTAGTGGCTCAGGCAAATTTTTTAAACTTTAATTAAAATTTTATAATTAAGCAGAAGAGTTAATTGTTAGTATATTGCAACTGTTTTAATAGCTTGTGTCTAAAGTTCGACAAGCTGCTTGTCAAACATAATCGAAACCTACTTTCTCCATTTCGCCATACACCATGCAAATATGACTCGTTAAAGCAAAGAATTTTAGTTTTCTTCCATTTTTCTCTCCTAGGTCCTCACTCGGTGAAAATTTCGTTGCAAATGATTTTATTTTTACACAACGCAAGCGGTTTGATCAAACGTCAACATGGTGCCCAGATAATCAAAAAACAAGTTAGATTTTTGCTCAAATTTCCCTCAAGCGGCTTGTCAAACCCCATACACAACACAAATGGCTTGCAGCAAAGGGATATTTTGCTTGGTTTTTCAAGCCGATTGTGCGGTGGATTTCGCTCTTAACCGTAGCGATTAATTTTCGGATTCTTGTAACCAACGCAGCAGCTTCGCGCACGTGTACATGTTACTTATTTTTTGGAACTTCACAATCACACTGTGAAAGAGCGAACAACACAATTTCAAAGGCAGTCGAGAACAAACTTATAAAAATATTGAAAACTTCCCAGTGGGAATTAGGAGCACGTAATAATACCTTATTAGCAACTTACTCTTCACCTGGCAGTCATTGCCATTTCCCTGCCGAACGTCCCTTACTTTTACAAAGGCATGGCCGCCTTATGTAATTAGGAATTTAGAATGTACATTTGGTATCAGACATACTTCTGAGCCGCTTTACAAAGTAAGTTACGTGTAATGCAGAGAAGTCGCTCGGAGTAGTTCGGCGCTTGGAGATAACTTCGGCTGCACGTTACTTTGCAACTGACAACGTAATGTGTCGTTGGAGGTGTTCATTTTGTGCTTTACTAGTAGATGACATTGGCCATGATGACAATTTTGGTACTAAAAACTGAAAGAAAACATGGCTTACCTCGTAAGGTGCTTACCTATTTTCCCAGTGGGTTTGAATGTTTAGTTTGCAGCTTTGACGAAAGTACCGACGTAGTGGAACTTGTTGTTGTTTTTGTGTTTGTGAGGTATCCATTCTCAATGCAAATCGAAGAAGAGCTTTTGATGAGCGGAGTACTTCAGACTTACACCACTGGCGACGAAATTTTTAAAGCTATCGACAATCTTTTAAAGAAAAATGGTTTGAAATGGGGCAAGTGTGTTGATATTTGCAGTGATGGAGCAGCTGCAATGGTTGTAAAAACGAAAGGAGCGGTGTCTAGTATGCAGAAAGTGGCAGAAAACGCCCCAAGCAGCCACTGTATGATCCATCAGCACTCCCTGGCGACTAGAAAGATGCCACCACAAGGTTTAAAACCGCATTGGATGACGCTGCGAAGATAAATAAATGCTAAGAGTCGCCCACTTCAAGCCTTTTAAAACTTGCCTCTGAAGGCATGGGTACGGATCACTTTCACTTTTTGCGGTGACTTTCAAGGGGAAGATTTCAGCCCAATTGTTTGAGAAAAAAGATGCACTGGTGGCAACATTTACAAAGCAGTCTTTGGTTCAAAATTTAATTGATATCGTTTGGCTAAATGAAACCACCACACCTCTTCAAGGCAAGGGAGGACCTCAATTGGAAAAAAGAGGCCTGCGAAAAAAATTATTTTTTTAGAGCATGTTTTGAAAGCGCAAACATCTCCCACTTTCGTTGGTTGCAAGAATATCTACATATGGGTGTTTCCATGTAACCGTACGCGACATTCGTACGCTTATGGAGTAACATAAATCTCTCAAAAATAGAAGTTACAGAAAAACAAGATTACGGTTATGTTGCAACCCAAGGGTACTATGTTTAAGAAAAATATAAGCAGCCTCGAAAGTTTGGTGTGGAAAATATCCGTTCAAAACAAGGTGATAACGTACGCGACAAAAAAAGAAGTGTTTTAAGGCACATATACATTTATGCGAAAGTCTGCGAATCATGGGAGTTTTTCTTTTCTTTAATTTCTTTCCTTAATTCCTAAACTAAGCTAAATAATGTACCTTTACAATCTTTCTATTTTTTAATAGAAATTATCTCTGGTTAGTTTTTATTAAAAAAAAAAACGTAAAACATAACGACAGATTTTTCCCCCATACAATATTTTTACACATACACATACTAAATTAAATTTTTAATTTAAGTTTTTTAGTTCTTCTCTCCACCGTTTCACGTTTTCAAAACCTTTTTCCGCCATCTGAATACGAAATTGAAAGTTATAAAGCCGTTTGAATTAATTTGCTTGCATTTTCGGTTTACATTTTCATGGAAAGACCCATATGTGAGTCTGCATTTTCAACAAATGCTTACATAAAAAACAAATACAGAAGCAAGCTTTCAGCGTCAAATGATTTAAGGGTAAAATTGAGAAAGCTTCCAATAAACTTAAAGGAAATAATCAAATCATCAAAACAATTTCATTCCTCACAATAAAGCTTAAGGAGCATAAAATTTGCATTGTGTTTTCTGATTTTCGTAAACAAACAAACCATTTTAAGAGTAGGTGTGCCGGGATTTTTTTTTAGCGCAAAAAGAGTGCCGCAGCGAAATAAGTTTGGGAACGCCTGGTCTATGGATTGCTTTTCTAGTTTTGCCAATGCATTTATTTTTTATGTAACCAAAAAGCACATTTTTATTACTTTCATAGAATCCCGAAATAGATGGCAAAATATTCTCAACTTGTTCAATGAAATCCGTTGGTTGGTTCGGGTCATTATCGTCCAAGTTTTCAATATTTTTAATACATGTTAATACAAAATTTAATTGACTTATTTCTAGGACCTCCATTATGATTTTTATTTAACTAAATATTCACGTGACTAACTTAGATTTTAACTATTGCCTAAAACTACAGTGAATTATAAGTGAATAAAAATTACCAGCTAGGTATGTATGTTTTTGTTGTGCTTATTGAGGTTCTTCGCTGATAGTTGTTAATGCTATCGTCGCTCCCTGATATGGTTTTGCTGCAACAGTGTTTTTATTGGAATTGCAGTCAGCCTCTCTAAAATTTGCGCTGCCAATGGTTGCGGCTATCGATGGACTTGTATTTTGTTTTTATAAAATTTCCTCAAAATAGTTTTTGTTTGCTCCAAATTTACTATTTCGCTGCCACGGCTTTTTGGTTATATTTTTCAGTCAGACTTTCCGAAATGTGTATTGTCCACGGTTGTTGCTATTGATGCTCTTCGTTAAATAATTATAATATTACTTATTTACGAGTAAATTTTTCTGCACTTCGAGTTTTTACTTCGTTTCCACAATGTTTTTGTTGTTGCTTAGATTTGAGTTTAAGCTTAACTAGGTAAAATTCGCTAAAGTTGTTGTAAAATTTCACTGCCTTTATTTTGTTTGTTGTAGGATAAAAAGCTACAAAAGAGGTCATCGTAAATCAGGCCCAGCATGTATCGGGTAGGCAATACTTAACCTTGGCAGAGGACACAATCAGGTGCTCCGTTTTCTGGCTTACTTAGGATTTTCATTAGATGAAATGCCACAGAGTTGAGTTAATTCACTGACCGTGCTTAAGGTCGCCATTCACTTTTTTGCAGTATTATGGCTGAATTTTCACTGCAATATATGGCAGCACTTTTGTTAAGTTTTCAATTTAACCGCAGCTTATTTTCGATTCACTACGTCTTAGGTTGAAATACAAAAGTTTATTGTTTTTTGTCGGCATATATGTATTTGATACCGTCATCTTTAAATATTAAGAAACAAATCTTTGACACAAAAGCTTTTCTTAAATTTTTCTGCTTTTATTAATTTTTGTCCTCGTCGCCATTAACATGCGTATTCAACGTCTTTTCCAAAACTAAAAACTCTTTATTTCTCAAAATGTAATCGATTGATTTTATATATCTCTATACCAAGTTTCAGCATTCTACCATTAACACTTTCAGAGATATGCAGTATGAAAAATTCGGTTTTTATGGGAGGTGCCACGACCCCTTAGCTTAGCATTATGAAATATGCTTTACATCCGACTCTCATACCTACAAAATATACGCAACAAATTTCATAAAGATCGGTCGAGCCGTTTCGGAAGAGTTCGACACAAACACCGTGACACAAGATTTTTATATATTAGATAAGCAAAATTTCGTATGGAAAATAAATATAAATAAAATCGTCAAAATTTCAGGGTATGCATATTTTTGTCGCTCACTGTATGTTAGCAAAACATCAAACTACGAGTATTTTATATCAACACGCAGTTTAGGTCTTTGTTAGAAACGTTTACATTTAAACACTAATCACATTTCATCATCTTTCAATTATTCTTTAACTTAAAAACGTATTTTCTCTTACCCTTTCTCTTCTTTTCCAAAAACAGTGCATAAAATGCTATCTATAGTAATAATTGGTCTCTTGACGGCTCTACTGACGGTTATATACGTCTGGTACCGTTACACTTATGACTACTGGATGCGACATAAAATTCCCTTTATAAAACCATTCCCACTGATTGGAAATGTTCAAGTCCTGTTTACACTCAGCAATAGTTTCTTCCTCTATCTCTCCGATGTTTATAAGGATTCTAGAATGTCGAAGGCAGCTGCTGTAGGCATTTATATTATAAACAAGCCAGCTTTAGTGCTACGTGAACCGGAACTCATCAAATCCGTGCTGGTTCAGGAATTTCCAAGGTTCTCTAGTCGGGTTGCCGCTTGTGATCCACACGGTGATACTTTGGGATCGAATAATGTGTTTTTCGCACGCAATCCCCAATGGAGAGAGCTTAGAACAAGAATTTCACCGGTGTTCACTTCAGTAAAAATCAAGCAAATGTATGAATTAATGACTGAGGTTAGTAAATTGAACGAATATGTAGAGGGTTGTACTCCTATAAGCTTTTTTGTTTGCATTTGCAGATTGGCTCTGAGCTAGAGTCTCATTTTTTGAAACACACCAAGACTGGTAATACCTACAACACCGAAATCAAGGAGGTTTGTGCGCTCTACACCACCGATGTGATAGCATCGGTCGCCTTTGGCATACAAGCTAATAGCATTAAAAATCCAAACGGTGAATTTCGCACACACGGCCGAAACTTTATGAATTTTACGCTCGGTAGAGCGCTTTCCTTTTTCATCGCATTTTTCTACCCAAACTGGGTTAGCACATTTAAAGTGAAAGTTTTCACGGCTGAATTCTCTTCCTTTCTACGCAAAACAATCGATCATGCTATTACGGAAAGAGAGAAGACCGGAGCCATACGTAACGATTTAATCGATGTGTTGTTGGGTTGGAAAAAAGAGATGCTGGCGACACAAGAGTACAATAAAGAGGTACTGGATGTGCTAACAGCGCAGGCATCAGCGTTTTACACAGCTGGTTTTGAGGCGTCATCTTCAACGATGGCTTTTACGCTGTACGAATTGGCCCATCGAATGGATTTACAGGAGCGACTGCGCAACGAAATTCGCGACGCACTTGTGGCTGATCATGGCAAACTATCCTATGAGACCATCACTAATTTACCGTATCTGGGTATGGTAGTAGATGAGGTCTTACGCTTGTATCCCGTACTACCTGCGGTCGATCGCGAGCACAGTACGAGCGAAGGGGACAAGCCGTTTGATCTACGACCGTACTATGATTATAAAGTACCAAATGGCATGGCTGTTTATATACCAATATTCGGCATACAACGCGATCCCAAGGTGAGTTGATCGAAATGTGAGAGCGATGTCTCGTATTGGGCGCTGAATTTTAAAATACTTGCCTTTATATTTCCAGTACTGGCCCAACCCTAACACTTTCGATCCGGAACGTTTTAGCGCCGAGAATAAAAAGCTACATGAACCAATGGCCTACATGCCATTTGGCACTGGTCCGCGCAATTGTGTTGGTGGCCGTGTAGGTTTACTACAAGTCAAAACCGGTCTCGTTAACATTTTGAAAAATCATTTTGTGACCGTTTGCGATAAAACACCAGCGGAGATAACTTTCAATCCTTTGTCTATACTGTTGCAATGCAAGGAAGGCATATACTTGAATGTAGTAAATGATGGTCTATACGAGCAAATTGCGAATTCAGGACGGACTTAGCGTGGAATTATTATCTTATGAAAGTACATATGATGGACTATATATTGTATAACAAAGATTGATATTTGAATTAAAGAATGAAACCTATATTTAGAAGATTGTGCATGTACATTAGTGTGCTTTGTTGGGGGCCTATTTTTTTTTTACTCCCACCTCGAAATTTCGTGGGAAATATCTAAAAAGAAGTTCTCTGAAAATTTTAGACCTTAATATTAATATTAAGTGCTCGACCAAGACGTGCAAATATTTCCCGTTCAAAATACACATCAACTTTGAATGGTTTTCTTCAAAATTCTATAGCTCACAGGCATTTTATGGTATAATCATGGCCAATGGTAGTTCTTCTTCAGAACTGAATGCCCTACAAAAGTGTCCATTGCGACGTAACTTTAACTCCCCCCAGCGAGTTAGTACTGGTCACTAAACCCAATACTTTCATGAAATTCCCGTGTTTTGCGGCTATCTCGTAAATAACAAGAGGTACAGAAAAATTTCAAATGACAATCTTGTAGGCCATTCCATGATAAAAACATTACAAGGTAAATTCATTCTCTCAATTCGTCGGCCATGATTTTGTTCTGACGTTTGCCAACATTTTAAAATCATATAAAATTGAAAATAAAAAAATTAAATTGTTCACAATTGTTGTTGTTTGAGATTGAAAATGAGAATGTGTGTGTGAGTTTGAGTTTTGATTTTAAAATTATATTGTTGGCAAACGTCAGACTGCCTCTCAATGGTTTTACCTTGTTATGTTTTTATCATGGGCCATTCAATTCCCTACAAAAAGGTTGAGGTAGTTTAGAATTTTTATTGATTATTGAGCTAAACTGTAGAAATTGTTGATCAACTTCAAAGCCCAATATCTCAAGAAATATCGATAGTAGTGATTTAGTGTTCTCGAACTTTTTTGTAGGAAATTGAATGGGGCGTTAGATATATGTATACCGAAAATATATTGAAATATGTTGAAAAAATTTCTGAATAGGGCGTTATCGAACTGGCTGCATAGATAGGTTGATCTTCCTCTCAGGTGTCGAAATTAACAAATGAAAAATAGCGAAAACTTCTTCAAATTTAGCTTTTTTGACAATGTTTTACAAGGTCTTGTGAAGAAACAAAAGGTAATAGAACCTCTTGACTTGAATTCAAATTGAAGCGTGAGTGTTCGACTGCTCTAAAAGTGTATAACAGTGCATTGCAGAACAATTTAGCGCAAAAAAGACATACTTTTAGTGCAAGAAAAATCAGCATGGAACGATTTTTCCCACACTCCAGTACTCTAGTGCACTCAAAGCACCAGACGTAGTTATTTATTGAACAAGCAAAAACTGACATGGCGACCTATGCTAACACTTGCATCAGACCACCTATCCCTAGTCATATCGATCAACAATCCCGCTGACTTTGCTCCCGTGGACCACCGAACCTATGCAAACTTTACCAAAGCTGATTGGAACGGCTTCGCGGAAATCTCATTCGATGGTCACGCTTCGTCAAACCCGAAGAAATGCGCGCGCAATTTTAGTCGGCAATTCACATTGCATGCTTCGGCAGATAAGGTCAAGCGTCGAGCGATCAGGAGACTGCACAAACTGCCCAAAAGCAGTGCACCACTTGCTTTAACCAGCGGTGAAGTCCAGGTAGCCATCGGGAAGGCGAAAGCCTCCAAACGAATTTGCATGCTGATGCTGAAACATTTGTTGTTTCGGCGATCTAATCCCGTTTAGGTCGGCGAAGTATCTCAGAAGTTGTTCGTCCATAGGGCTAAATTTGCTACGCATTCTTCTGCTAAGGACTGGCATCGAGTCAAACCCAGGGCCAGAAACCTACACCTGCTGTGTATGCCAGAGACGACTACACCACAATTCCACCTAAGTCAAGTGCAATGCTTGTGACGGGTTGAGTCACCTCAGAGTCTGCTCAGGACTCCGGACACATCCGCAGTGGTCCACATCATTTGTGGCCCCCTGCTGCTCAAACAGAGCAGCCTCCACGCCTAACCCCAGTCCACCTAAGCAGCTCTACACAAACACCACAGCACCATAACACAATAGACCACAACCACGCCAGACCACACAACTGACACAACCGCACCACCACCCATACGCCACCGCCAACAAATCCTGGTTCCTCCTACAATCTGTACGGTATGACAGACCAGGATATTCCGTAACGTGACCAGTGTTGCCAGAACTTTTCAGGGCGACCGGCTAGATTGAACAAAAAAACGGCTAAAAACGGCTAAAATGTTTCAACCAGAATTACATTTTTTTTTAAATATGTACATAAACTACAATTAGAAAGACTAGTAAATCCATTGCATTTTTTTTGGTTAATAAAGATTATTTATATGTAGCTAAGCTGTACACCACTTTATTTTTGTTTAACAAAGGAAACTGTCGTTATAGGTAGTTAAGCTTTACATCAGAAGCCATGTTTGTATTACTTAAATATAAAAACAGAGATAAATTACAAACTTAT